ATCATGTTTCATGTATACTAGTAACATCGAGTACAAAGTCTTGGAAAATATTAGTCCAACAAAGGAGGAATAAAAGGAGAACACACACTATCAAATAGGCAAGTCAATTTCATTTTAAAATTTATATTTTACGACATATTTTTACTACCGGGTGGCCCAAAAAAAAGTACTCCTGTTTGATTCGTAATAACATCTAAACAAGTATAGCTTTTAAAGAGAAATAACTTGCATCAAATAGAGGAAGGACTAACTTAGACTTTGATATATTACAGTTGTATTTCACTTAAAAATTTACGGAGATATTAATCTTTAAATTCGGGAGGATATTTCTGGATGTGTCTGAAATATGCAAAAATCGGCGTATCAAATATTAATCAAGATTTGCCCGACTGAAACATACACTATTACCAGTAAATAAATGACACTTGACAAATTGTTTATTATGAAACAAAGTATTATTATATCTACAAAATACAAACAAGATTCATTCGTCCGAAATTCGCGTGTGTTCCTAGCACGAATACGTTTCCTTATTTCATGAGACCACTGCATCGCGAAGGATCGTCATTGGATCGTTCGTAGTTCTGAATCAGGGCATGCTGTCACAACGGAATTGTGAAGCTCTTCTAACTTCTGCAACGTTCTGAAATCTTGTTAAGAACACCCAAACTCTTTTGCCGTTTCTTAATCTTGGCAAGTTCATGGAGTAAACTGAGAATTATATGAAACACAATCAAACCATACAACTCCATAAGACATAACAATTAAACAACTCCCCAGAGACATGCAACATTTTTGGAACAAAACGTAACAAAATAGTAGCGTTGATACGGTGATGTGTATTTGCAAAAAGCAATATTATTTCCTTCAATAAAGAATATTCATCCTGCTCTAACCGAGAAATAATCTACTCAGTCTGTTTGAACCCATTAAAAACATAAAAAAAATTAGGCTATTTAAGAATACGAAAAATTTAAGCGCCTGCCTTCCATGGTCAGTCTTTCATGTACATTTAAGTTTGCAAAGACCTAATATTAAATACTTGCATAATTTCGAACGTTCATGTTTCAGGAAACAATGAGCTAAGACTTACATGTAAGATGTCTAAATCTACGCCATATCCCTTACAAACCTTAACGATAATTCGCTGAAATACAAGTTAGCCTAATATGTCATTAAGCAAACAAACGCTGGAGTTAATATTTGATATCCCGATTTTCGCTAATTTTAGACACATTCCAAAATATGCTCCCCATTTTTAACATTAATATATCCGTGAATTTTTAAGTTAAATACAACTGTAATATATCAAAATCTAAGTTAGTCCTTCCTCTATTTAATGCAAGTTATTTCTCTTTAAAAACTTTACTTGTTTAGAGGTTATTACGAATCAAACAGGAGTACTTTTTTTTGGGCCACCCGGTAAATGTATAAATTGTCTTTACATAACACAGTCGCAATTCCAGTTAACTGTAATTATATACAAGCTTGTCTGCTACTGTCTCTGCATGTCCAATGATCACAGTTATATCTGTTACTATATGATTTCCCATTGCTTGCCTCCCATGCCGCTGCGTAAACTTCATCCAAAGTATGCCTTCCCAAATCCATACATTTCTATCCGCCTGTCTTTGCACAGGCGTAAAATTCTTCACCGTCTCGTTCCCACTCGTAGACAACCCATTTGTTCTCCGAAGGAACATCGACCACAATCCCGTGATGAACTCCCAGACCTAATGCTGCTTTAACGCGACAAGACCAAACCTTTACGGTTCCTTCAGCACTCCCCGTGTGCAATAGCTTTAGATGAACCCATGTCCAGTTGTATTAAAGCGTTGTGTGTATGTCGAGTTCGTGAAGATTACTTGGTCGCGAAGTCAAGCTAAACTGGCTTAGATTGTAGTATTGTTTTGCATTCTCACTTTCCGTGTACTTCCTTGGCCGCGTTTTTCGAGGTACATATTTCTGGGAACTGAGGTTCGGGGGCCAACTTTACCGAGGAGAAAAAAAGTTTCCAGAAAGTTTAATTTGAAGGTTTTTAAAACTTTTTGGAAGGAAGTAAATAAAGGTGTGTCGACCGAAGTCTGTGGCAGTAGGCTCCTCTTTTAGTCATACAAAATTACTTACATTTTTGTATTCGAACCAAGGAATCCATCAAGTAATATTTCAAATCCGACCACAAAGAGATAGCTTATTTAATAGACGAAATCGGAGTCTCGACTGCGCATTCAAATGACGCATTCTACGCTGGGAACAAATTGTAGTTGAATCACAACATGTAAAGCTGAGACTGAAATAATGAGAACATAAATATCAAAGTATTGAACCGTTTAATCATTATTTGTGTTACAGTTATAGCCACAATATAACTGTCATTAAGTGATGTTTGTACTAGCATATTTTGTCTTTTGTATAAAATAAATAGAGAAATGTGCACACTAAAGTCTAGTTTCCATATGGT